CCAGGCACCTCTGGGCGACACAGGGATGGGGAGCCATCAGGTTCAACCACTTGGCTGAGAGGTCTCAAGCCATCTGGGGGTCTCTGGGCACCCTGGTAGCTGTAGAGTGATGGTGGCCACCACCCTGGGCTTGGGGCTACCCAAGGTAGTTGATGTGCACCCCCATGGGGCACCTCTTGGGGTTCCTCAGCCCCACAGAGCTGCCATTTGGGGGATGGTGTGGATGGCCAGACTCACCGCGTCTTTGAGGCGGGAGCTGAGGAGGATGAGGGCAACCACGATGTTGGCAGTGGTGTCCACCTCGGGAACGGTGTTGAGGAAGTGTTGGAGGAAGGCCTTGCCCTTCACCGCTGGTGGTGGGTGGCGCATGGAGGACGGGGCGTTGGGGAGGAAGGCGCCCAGGTCATACTGCAGGGTGAGAGGCCAGTGTCAGCAGAAGACATCCCTCTGGACTGGGGACAGGTTGGATGGGGATGTTCTCCTGAGGTGGGGTGGGGACATCCCTCCAGCATGGAGAGCTGGGACACAGACATCTCCCCTGCCTCAGGATGGGGACATCCCTCCTGCACACAGAGGGGTTGGAGGGGACCATCTCTCCAGCATGGGACAGGGACAGCTGGGGACATCTTTTGAGTGCAGAGGGATCAGACAGCCCCTGTCCCACCTGCCCGTTGTTGACGGCTGCGTGCTGCGCTGAGCAGGTGAACACCACCATGGTGAGGAACTTGCTGAGCTCCGCCACCGTCTGCAGTGAGGAGGGGATACCTGGGGGGGTGGGGGCACAGCAAAGATGATCAGGGACCTGTCCTTGTCCCCCACCCACCCCTGGGGACACCCCATGGCACCCATGGGTGTGGGGATGCGGTACCTGAGGAGGTCCTGCCCAAGAAGCCGTTGGTGAAGATGTCCATCACCCAAGCCTGCAGCTCGGTGTCCCCACTCACCGCCGCGTCGTCCCGATAGTAGAAAGCCACAATGCCAGAGACGAAGCTACCATAGGATGAGGTGACCATGAGGGCATGGAGCACCCATGGGACCACCACCAGCTGCCACCCAACCCCTTGTCCCACCTCTCGATGGCTTCCCAGAGGCGCAACCCATCATCCCGGTAGTGGTAGTTGGGGATGTGGGCCATGCCGCGGTGCCGGATGTCATCGGGGAGGCAGAGGGAGGAGTAGGTGACCTTCTCCAAGCCCCGCTGGACGATCAGCAGCATCCCCTCGTAGGTGACACCTGAGCCCTGGTGGGGAGGGGGCACCCATGGGTGCTCAGGGCAGGAGGCACCATGCCCCCCTCCAGCCCCCAGCTGCCCCAGTGCTCCCAGCATACTCCAGTGCCCCCAGTACTCTCCAGCT